CATTTTAATGACTGATGATTAACATGCTGTAATACACAGTTCAAAATTAAAGGCTCAAATGCTGTACATGAGAGGTTAAGCTCCCCCTGGCGGTTTTACAAGGCGACGCCGGATAGTTAGTCACGTGACACACGTGAAACACGTGATACCGGGTGATACTGTGACACGCCCACCGGGGTATGCCGTGAAATACCTCACCCATTTTGAATGGCTGCATCTGTAACTCTGAGTATATTACTGAATGTTTCACATTCAGTCTTTTTGTATGTTGTAAAATATGTAAGTAATTAAGATGACAAAATACATTCATTTTTAAACAAATTATTTTTTATGAGCAGAGTAAAGCTAAGTATTGTAAGGGTTATCCTAGAGCAAGTGTTATCTTTTTGTACATGTTTACAAATATATTTATTACATGAACATACGGTATGTTGACTCCTTGCCAACACCTTTTTCTTGGAGTGATTGTAAAAAACAGACAGGCTCAAGGCACTTTTTTAACTGAACTTGAGCTTCTAAAATCCCTATAATTTCAGATGAGTCCCTTCAGTTATTATCACCTAACAACAAGAGTATACCAAGCTATTGCAAAAATGAGGAAGGGGACATCTTCTTGGCAGCAGAGTCATGGAAGCCCAACGTATGCACCAGCTGCGTGTGTCTGAATGGGTTGATCAGCTGCTACTCAGAGTCCTGCCCTCTTGTTGCCTGTGCCAGACCAGTTCTGAGGAAAGGACAATGCTGTCCCTACTGTCTGGGTAAGTCATAAACATGCCTCCAATATAGGTCATTCACACTGAGCAATGTGTTAATTTACTCTGCATTTGCTGATTTATTGTAACGTTCAGTCACATTGAAGTAAGTGTTTTGGAATTTTAGATTAGTCTCAGTTTCAGAATGGCACAGTGGTAAGCATTGCTGCCTTGCAGTACTGGGGCCCTGGATTCAATTCTGGACATGGTTTGCTATCTGCATTGGGTTTGTGTAGGTTTCCTTCCAGTGCTCTGGTTTCCTCCCACAGTCCACAGACAAACTGGTAGGTTAATTGGCTTGATAAAGATCTTATTGAGGTAAGATCACTTGACGCAAAAACCTATGTTTAATGTAAAAATACTAGTTTAAATTATAACAATGTCCTGTGCTTGAAAAAAAAACAAGCAGGGTTTGTCATTGTATTAATTTCTACACTAATGTCTGGTTTGAAGATTACCTGATCCCTTTTCAAATATAGAAATGTAACCTATCAATACAAAGCAGTTAATTGATTCTTGGACAAAAGATAGAAAGGAATGTATTAGTGAAGAATGCAAATAAACTTTATTAGTGAAGAAGGCAAATAATCTACAAAAGTCTCAAACATACAGTTTACTGGGGGGGAGTTTAAGATGGAAACCTTTACTGTGATTACAAAATACATTTCTGTCCCTTGCAAGGACTTACTAATGCTGGTAGCACATTCCTGTTTTAGTCCTGAGACTTTGGGGCAGTTTTTTAAAATATGCTGTATTTATATTGCACAGTGCCTGAACTTGCAGCAGTACAGGTTACATTCTATCTTCCTCTCTAACTTCTCTAACCTCTCTAAACTGTAATAATATTAGTTTTTACAGTGAACAATTTCAGCTACTATTCAGTATTAATCTACAACTACCATCAAAGGACTAGTACAATTTTCATTATGAGCAGGTGTGATGCATTCAGAATTCTTTTCATTTTTCTAAACATCTAGTTTCTAATTTTGATGGTGAGATTAAAATAAAAAAAACTTGCTATTCTCTGGCCTGGTTACACTTTGTTCTTTTTCTTTTTGTTTTTGTTTTTCAGCAACTGAATTTCATTCTTTATTTCTGAAGTATTCTCAATAGGGATATTCTTGAAAGGTGCTACGAAAAATAAACCTCCTATCACACCAATCTTTGTACAACTGTCAGAAAGCAGACTGTCAGGAAGCACCAGATGTTTATGTTAATATTTTTAGAATTAGATTGCTGATATGCTTCACCTGTTATCTGATTAACACATGCTATCAACACAAATTGTGTACAATTTTTTGATTGGTACACAAATAATTAGAAATGATAAAAGGGACTGTTCCAGGCACTCTTTGCCATAATAAATACGTTTTATTTGCCCTAAGGAGGGGAGACATTTTGACAAGTTAAAAATATTGAATGCTTAATCGCATCATTATGTCAATAGGAGATCAGAATTAGAAGAAAAGAGTAAAACAACTAAAATATTTTTTTCACATTTATCAAACCAAAGTTGTAAGCTGGTAACACGTTCTTTCATTTGCAGTGCAAATATTTTGGACTAGGTTATTCTGAAGTATTTGCATATTGATAATATTAATTTTTCTTTACTCTAGAAGCTCAGTTGGAAACTAAGAAATAACTTTACTTGTAACTTTAAGAATTGTCTTGTGAGTTTATTATTATTCACCACATACTGTACAGTATATAGTAAATGTAATTGATCTTTCCTTATCATTTCCTTCCTGATGCACATAAAGAAGAAATGTTTGTTGCTACTTATTGCTAAAGATAGGATACATGTACAATATGTATATTACCATGCCATATGAAAATAAGCTTTCAAAAATATATTTAAATGTCTGGTTTTACTCCAGATACTCTCTTTCTGTGGTATAAATCTGAGCTTTCTGCAGAAAGAGGATACAACTGTATTTGTAGCTTGTATCTATACTATAGTCATCAAGACTGTTTATCTCAGTTTTGGTAAAATGATTAAAAAAATTAATACTAAATGTGAAATTTGAACCTTTCATATTTCTATTGACAGATTATGCCAATAACAAGCTTCTGCTCTGAGTGAGTTTAGTGGCAGACAGCATTTAATATGGTTACAGCTTTAACACTTTTTTTAATAGGATATCCAATTCCTCCAATTATGAGCACCTACTGATTTAATTATTATTGTTATTGTTACTGTTATTACATACATCCATAAGTTTTCATGTCTGAAAAACATTATTTAAATCTTATTTATAGTGAAGCAACATGTTTACCTTTTGAAAGACTTTAATGAGTTTTTGTGCCCATCAGGTTTCTTTTTTTGCCCAGTAAATTAATTTACATAAATTATGTCTGTGAGTGCATAAAAAATAGTTAATGTATTTGATTGCTACATATGTCTGTCAACTACAGGTGTAGTTCCACAACATGCTGTGTTTAAAAATAATGATGTGTAAATGAACACAAATTGACTGATTCTGTTTAAGGATAATCAGCATACAAAGTGCATGCTAAATTGTTCTCAAGGGGAAAGGAGGTTTTATTTATATTATAGATAACAGTGTTGTAAGGAAAGACAAGAGTTTGGTCTTTAAGCAAGAAAGCTCAGTTTTAGTATTTTTTAACACATTAATTTGTTTTATTGTGGTTTTGTATCTTAAATGTCACAGATCTGCAACAGGAGTCTATCCAGTAAAACCACCCATTATTCCTCATCTCCCTCAGGGACTTTTGGTGATCTGTCTTTCTATTCTTTAGTGTGAAGCAGATAAAAGGATAATATTATTCATTGAAACACATTAAGTCTGTGACAAATGCTAAATTGGTGGTAACAGCAAAAGTTCTGCTGAGCATCTTCAGTTCTGTACTGTGATTATTCAAGCAGTGTCTTTATACACAGTCTTCTATCTGTTATAATTTGACCTGTTACTAAACAATAGGAGCATAACAATTTTCCAATTTCCATTTATTGCATAGTTGTTTCTGCATTAAGTACTCTGTTTTCTGCCTCTTTACTTTTTCTTTCACTTCAAACATGTAATTCCCTTGCCTTCAGACAGTTAATTCATATCTCCTATGATTTTACATGGGAGAGTTGAAGAAAAAATGGAATGAAATTTGAGACTAGATAATATAATTTCCTGTGAGAAACCCTCCCAGAATATAATGAGTTGTATGTACTTCAAATGACAAACCAGGACCAAATTGTTACGGAATATTAATGAGGACCCTATGCAGAATAATCAGGACGAACTTCAGAGGCATAGTCTATTAAACTGTCCGAGGTCAGAAAGCTGAAGTGATACAAACTGGTACAAAAGTATAAAATCAGAAGTGGAGCTGTAAGCCGTGAGAAAGCCAAGAGTCTAAGCAAGAACAATACTCCAAAGTACCAAAACAAAACCAGGAGACATAGTCGGAGAGCAAAGAAGGGTCAGGAAGCCAAAAACCAAGACGTAATTAATCAAAGGAAGACGGGGGTAGCTCTTGCCAGGAAAACCTAATACTGAGCACAGGTGAGAATGTAAAGCAGTATTAAATAGGCTGGGGTAAATGGCTAATTGGAAATCGTGCTGGAATGCGAGGTGGAATGACAACTCCTCCGGGGGCGTGATGTAACACAAATGGAAGACACAAAATGTAAGCGAGACAAACAGAACTACAAATCTGGTAGTCTGGCCTTGTGAATAATGTAGAACCTGTTTAGGTAATGTAGGTTATCTAGAAGGTTGGCAGATTTGTCAGTGTGGCAAAATTACTGTGGAGGTATTGCATAATTTTGACTTGAATACACAGTCATTATTTTAATGTAGAAATTATTTGTGTTTTTAATATGTAGTGGTTTTAATACTGTATTAAATTCATTTTCTCTTTTGCAATTCCTTTACTCAACTGCCACCATATAATTTGAATAGGTGTTTCTCAGATACAGTATACTAAAGCATATGTAAAATATCCAATTTAGAATTTTAATTTGCTTTAGATATTCAATTTACATTTTATTATGATATTTCTTCCAACTATTCAAATCCAGCCGGTGCTATGACTTTTCTTTTAACAAACATTTCTTTAAAAAATAAAATAGCAATATTATGGACAATTAATTGACTTTTTATATTTCTAAATATCACAACATGTTCCAATTTAAGTCATTTTTAATAACAGTGAATAGTCACCTTCTTTCCTTCTGACAACTGTCCCTGCTCATGCTTCCTGCTTCTATCGCATGTGTGTGTGTGAGTGTGTGTGAGTGTGTGAGAGTTGGGGGGGATCCCTTTAGATCTCCCTTCAGATTTAAAAGGTTATTAATCACATCTTTGGTGTCGCATCTTCCCAATGTAGCTGATCTTTTGCTGCCTGGGTAAACTATCAGAAAGCTTTAGAGAACCTAACATTTCTATTATCAACAAATTGTAAATACGACGTTTACATTGGCATTATTAATTTTTCACTTGAGTGTATGGAGGATTGTCAGCTGTCACTGAGAGCAGACCCCCCTCCTTAGGCTGTGCAAACGATCTTTTTATAATTTTTTATAGAGAAATGGAGGCTGTACAGTATGCGTTACAATATAAACATTTATATTGATTTAAATCGCATTTTGATTTAAATTGCAAACGCATGTTTAATTAAATGTATTTTTTGATTCACAATCAGACAAATGCAACATAAATTGTTATCTTTGTCTTCTAAGTATCTTAATAAACTTTCACCATAACTTTCTCCCCGTTTAGATGTATTTTTCTTGGGATTTTGGGATCAAATGTGGAAAGATTAGATTGTAATTGTTTTTTTTTAAATACATTTTAGAAAAGTGTAATCTATACTAAAAAGTTGTATTTATTTAATACCACTCGATACTTAAATTCATGGAATTTAGTTGATACTGTTTAAACTTTTAATTATTTTAAATTGTATTACAGCATTGTACACATGATTAAAAGAGAAGAGAGAAAACGCAAGCCTTCTTCAGGTGTGAGAGTCTGCTCAGAATGAAACGCTAA